GAGAGAGAGAGAGCGAGAGCGCGAGAGAGAGAGAGAGCGAGAGAGCGAGAGAGAGAGAGCACGAGAGAGAGAGAGAGCGTGCGCGAGAGAGAGAGAGAGCGCGAGAGAGCGAGCGAGAGAGCGAGAGAGAGAGAGCACGAGAGAGAGAGAGAGCGTGAGCGAGAGAGAGAGAGAGCGCGAGAGAGCACATACCAGCTTCATCACTGTGTCTGTCATGCAACTCTGTTCCCCTTTCGTGCTCTGTCTTTACATTTATTTTGAAAGATGAAGCTCGCGATTATGGTAAGGGGCGTTACATTTCCGACGAGTGTTTGCGGTGTTCGGCCAATCACAATGCATTGGGTCAGCTGGCCAATCAGAGCAGTCTGCTCTGATTGGCCAATCACAATGCACTGGGTCAGTTGGCCAATCAGAGCAGACTGCGCTTGTCAAAGGAGGGGGCTTTGTAGAAAACGAAGCGTTTGAGAGAGGCGGGGCATAGAGGACCTACAATAATGTACAGTATTTGAAAAATAATGTGTTTTTTGAACATTAAAGCATGTCAACATATTCTGTTACACCAAATACACAAAATAATGATCTTTAAAAAAAGCATCATATGACCCCTTTAAAATTCTAGCAACATATCACAAATGTCACCTGGGGGTTATATTTATTTGAGCTTAATTTGACACATTTATTACTTAACCCTGGGGTAAATTTTGGATTTTAACTTTTTCCCACTCATTTTTGCTACCCAAATTTAAAGTCCTCTTCTTGTAGACATACAGGGAAAGAAAAAAAAAACTACTTTTTGATATTGTTTTGAAATTATATTTATGTATTTGAAGATTTCTGAAACCCTTCTGTGATAGTTACCTAATTGAAGCTGCTGAAATTTCTTTTTCCTGACAGTATTCTAAAAAAAAATTTAAGGAATTTGCAGATTTGTGATTCATCACTGAATATTGCTTTAATCCAATCATCCACACTCCATGACTTCTTGTTTGAAGTATGTTTCACATAACCAGAGTGTTGAATTATTAAACAAAAATTGGTTTGTGTTATATCTGTGATTTGTTTATTTCTTACAAAGTAAAATATTTGGGTGAACATTATCTAAGTGTGGTGATTCCATAATTTTTGCCAGGGGTTGTAAAACAGAAATTGTGCATATGTATGTGGGCAAAGCATAATGTGCACCATGAACAAACCTCCATTCTCATTTAATCTTCTGTCTTTGGTCTTAAAAAAATACTAGGTTTTAATATTACTCTAAAGCAAACACGAGTTTCACAATTTGAGTTGAATTACTGAAATAAATGAACTTTTCCACGACATTCTAATTTACTGAGATGCACCTGTATTACAGTGGTGTTGAAATCTATATCAAACTGCTTTACATTTAGGATGATAAACTATATATTCCATAGTAAAGGGGTTAAATGTATACTACTACATAGAAAAGTCTGTAAGCAATTTGTTTTTAAATTGTTAACATTGTCTTAGGCTATACTTTGAATGTTTTTTTTTCCCCTTTACATTTATCAGTTGGCCCCCATTTACTTACATTACAATGTAACCCAGATTTTTTTCTTTTTGGAACTGGAGTGTTGACTTTTAATTGCTGTGAAAATCTTGAAAAAGGGGACTTTTTTTTTTGGAGTGTTTTGCTCTGAGACAATGGTGTTGTCAAGGAGTTGCTCACATTTGGTGTTAAAATACAGACAACTGACATTAAATCAGTCCAGTTTAAATAGCTGCAGTGTACAACAAAAAGGAAAAAAAAAAATGCAGAAAAAAAACAAGAAACTTTCTTTATAAACAAAAAAAAAATCAATTGCAAGAAAAACAGCAAATATTTACAGTAAATTTACAGTTCGCTTAACATTTTGACATTAACAACCAAATATACATTTATTCAATTACTTAAAATACAACGTAGAAAATGCACTGTGACGCATGCAATAAGTGTCAGTGTTTCTAAAAGTTCTGTTAAGTTTTTTTTAAATGCAAAATATCAATAAAATAATGCAGTTTCAAATCAAATCATAATGAATTCTTTGGCTTTTTGCTTTTATACAAACAGACTAATATTTGGACAATAAAAGTACAACACAAAAAAGTCCAAAAATACTGTACAAAAATATTTAGCCCAACACCAGATGCAAATGTAAAACAGCTAACAGAGAATCAGCATGCACACAAGAGCTGAATGGAAAGGAAACTGACCAAACAAACAAGCATTAGAATCCCTCTGAACAGAGATTTTCCCAGATCCAAGTCTTTAATTGCACAGTTTTTTTCTCCCATTCCAAAGGTTTGGCAACTGCTTCATCAAAGTCTGAGAGGTGGCAATAGTGTCAGCCACTAAAAGTCATTGTCAGTGTGAGGAGACATTAGGACTGTCAATCAAAAAGGGTGAGAAAAGGCACTGGAGAGTTACAGACCAATTAAAGAAAAAAGTATCTGACTTATCGGCATAACAGCATGAAAACCCTTCTCATATTGAGAAAATTGAATTAAAGCACCTTGCGTCACCTAAAGAAATATTTGAAACGTCATAGTAAGTAAAATGAATATTTCTTCTGAAGCGGTGTCATTTTCAGTGTTTTAAAGCAAGGTCGCAGATAAAACAACTGTTGCTATCAGCAGATGTCTTTCTGAATAACTGGACATCAGTAAATCGGTTCGACATCAGTAAATTATAGGGGTGCTCCGATCAGGATTTTTGAGGCCAATCGCCGATCACAGAAAGCAGTATCTGCCGATACCGATCTTTTAAAAGCCTTCTTTTTTGATCATTTATAACTATTTATAATGATACTCCAATCAGGATTTTTAGACATTTATTCAGGGCCTAAATTTTATTTTTGAAAATGGGGGGGGGAATTCCCCTCTTAGGTGTCTCTTGAAATGGGGGGAATTCCCCTCTTAGGTGTCTCTTGTGAGAGGGGAAGCAGCACGGACTGTGCTTTCACAGAAGAGTCCGCTACTGATCTGCGGCTGTTTACCACACACAAAACATTTATCCATTATTTTGATTTCAAATCCAAACATTGTCACTGAAAATGCTTTTTCAGCATTGCAATTCTTTTTTTTTTTTACACAGTACAGTAATACAATCTTTCACAGACATGTTTAAACACAATAAATATAAGCAACACATTATTCAATGCTTATAGACAGACGCAATGTGTGGTGATTTGAAGCCATTGGTGTATTTTGCGAGAGAAAGAGAGAGAGAGAGAGCGCGCGCGCGGTGATTCACTCACGCTGGTTGTGAAATTACATCTCACACAAGGTTTTCAAATTACTTTATAAGTTATTTAATGAAGAAATAAGAAGGTGAGTACATCACCTTCAGCATTATAATAATTTCACCCGTGCCGGACAGAGCAACCTCCCACGGCAGCGTCATCAGCTTGAGATCGTTTTTTGAGATCGGCCATTTTAGAGACCGCCGATCAAACATCCCAACGTGATTATTGGCCGATAGTGATCGGTAGCCGATCAATCGGAGCACCCCTAGTAAATTACATACAAAACGCACACCACAAAGGGAATTATGGGTAACTTTTAACGAGTACGAGTACAGGAGGCCAGTATCGGGCCCGATACCGTGCATCCCTAGTAACAATGCAATGTGTTTTGCTCAAAATAATTTTTATCAAGCATGACAGCAACATGCTACAAAAATAAATAGATAAAAATAAACCAATTCGACAAAGGAAGAACCGACTGTTCCAATAATGCAGTGTACATCCTTATGTACACATAATAATCATTAATTCTGTCCTTCACGTTTTACCTGAATAACAGGCAAATAATAATAGCCACATGTTGTAATGCTGCTTAAAGGTGCTTCGGACCTACAGTAACACATAAAGGACATTGTCTTGAACATCAATAGCAGCTCTCGGTTTGGACGTTTCAGTTGTAAGTCACATACATCGGTATATTGAGCACATAATACCATCCGTAACAGGGTATTTCAAGTGTTTTCTCAAGGGTCACTGCTCTCCTCTGCTGTGACATTAATACCGTTGCTCAAGAAAGCCTCTTTCTCAGGTGTGGCTGGTCCATTTGTCATTGTTGGTTTGAAGGTGTTGATGGCTTCTATGTTGTTACTGGCCAAGGCCGCCTCTGTGCTGTGCCAGATTCCATAGCCAAAATAAATAACAAAACCTAGAAAGAAACACAGAAGGTCAAGGACAGCAAACGACCTTGTACTTGTTTTCTGTCTGTAATAAAAATGTATTTTGATTATTAATAACTACCCATTTATTGTGTTTTACCATGTTGCTGTGATTAGCCATTTAAGGCTGTGCATTTCCCCATCCTGACTAGACGTGATGCGATACGCAACAAATTTTAACTTAAGTTCTAGCATAGTGCACTTATCAAATCCTAAAAGGCTACAACTGAATTAAGTATTCAGGCTGTTGTGCTGTTTCAGCATGAGGCGCAGCCCTGTGTTAATTTATATGTGAGCAGCTCATGATCCAGTGTTTTCAGCATCTCAGTTCACAGTAAATACAGTGCTGTGAATTTAACATGCGTTTGGGAATTTAGGACACTTTATTTTGGCAGTTGCATAATTTCTACTATTTCTGTAGGCAGTAGCTCACAGCATTTCACTAGATGTATAATGCAAAGCATTTGTAAAGCATTCTGTTAAGAAATTAAGTAAAATACACTACCAGTCAAAAGTTTGGAATAATTACAATTTTGAGCCCCTTTTAAAAGAAGTATCTTATGTTCACCAAGGCTGCTTTTATGTGACAATGTGAAATATTATTACAATTTAAAATAACTTTTCTATTTGAAAAGGCCGATACATTAAAAGGTAATTTATTGCTGTGATGCAAAGCTGAATTTTCAGCATCATTATTCCAGTCTTTAGTGTCACATGATCCTTCAGAAATCATTCTAATATGCTGATTTGCTGCTCAATTATTATTGGTTCACTGAACATAATTTATTTGAAATTATTTTGCATCATCATAAATCTCATAGTCAGTCTTGATTTAATAGTGTAGCACTGTTTCCACAAAATATTAAGAAACTTTGTTTTCAACATCAATAATACTATGAAATGTTTCTTGTGTTGCCATAAAATGAATAAATAACATTTTAAAATATATTAAAATAAAACAACAGTTATTTAAAATTGTAATAAGGTTTTTTTTGTTTTTTTTTTGCAGCCTTGGTGAGCATGAAAAAAAAAAACACTGAAAAATGTTAAACCTTTGGCTAGTATTGCGATTAAAATAATTATGAAATTAATGTTTTATTTCACAGTGCAGTTGTATTACAATAGCAATGCATTAACGTCTTGTTATCAATAATGATAATAATAAATATATACTATTCAATTCATTTGGAAATGTAAAGACAATTTTTTATTTTTTTTTACTTTGTTCAGTTTGGTCAGAAAATGGGTTTGAGTTCTTAATTTTGCTCTCAAAGTACACTAGGTGTATTTTACTTAAAAATTTCTAGGACCCTCCTAGAAGATCCTACGTCCACCCACCATAGTGTCATGAAGTCCTGTGCAAAACAATGAACGTATGATGACGAATTATTGACTTACCTATGGCCATCCAAATGGCGAAGCGCATCCAGGTGCCTGCGTCCAGCTGCATCATCAGGTACACGTTAATGAACATGCTGAGGACGGGAAGGAACGGCAGCAGAGGAACCTGGGTACACACACACACACCCTCCTATCTTTACAAACCGCTATAAACACCGATTATAAAACTCCCTCTGTGTGCATGCAGGTATTTGTTTACCTTAAAAGACAGTTTTGTCTTGCTCTCAGGCTGCCGCCATATTAACATGGTGATGATGAAACAAACCACAGCCAGACTGGCAAGAACCGTAAGAGCCCAGATCTGAAATCCACCCTGAACCGCCACGACACAGAACACACACACCAGAACACCTGCACAAAGAGGAAGGGAAGCCGTGACTCACACTGTGAAGTCAATTCTTTGCTGATCTAATTAGAACTCAAGGCTGATAAAGTGTCTAGGCTGATAAACACATCCGCACATGTCTAACCTAATACACTGGTGCAGATGTTGACGGTGAAGCCAGAGAGACGAGACGGCTCCTCATTTTTGGGGGACAGAAGGTTGCTGAGGGTGCAGAGATCTTGAGATCCAGGCAGGAAACCAGCACTGCTCTCATTGATGGAGTCGGCCTCGGTTTCCTCTTGACAGCTGGCTCTCTGATACTGGACATTCACACTGGGCTGCTCTGGCTGGTACCTGAGAGAGAGAGATATAATAGTCTAACCATCAATTATGGTTATTATTGTTTACTAAAACTATTTCTATTATGACAACTCTTGAAAGACTTTAGCATGCTAATGGATATGACAATGTTAATGTATTTGGTCTTGGCAGAATAGATCCGCTACGCTGCTGAATTGCTGCTGCTGTTGGTTATTGCTGTTGTTATATATTATTGCTGTTGCTGCAAAGCAAGTACAGGAACTTGCTACTGCCAATGCATACGTCGATACGGTGCTGTGAGTATTTAAGACATACTGCTGCTGCACAAATATATAATAACCTGCAGCAGATCTATAAGGTGGAGCTGGGGAGGTGGAGGGATTCAGAGGAAGCCATTTAAATGTAAAGCAGCAAGCTTATTGGCTGCATATGCAACATGAACCAATCAACTTGTGCCAAGTAGTTTAACGCTGTGAATTAGGGCTGCACGATAAATCGCATGTGATTGTCATGCGCATCTTGTCAGAACCGGCTTTACTGACGAGATGCACATGACAATCGCATGCGATTTATCGTGCAGCCCTACTGTGAATATCATCATTTTGCATTAAGGACCCATCAGTCTGCACCAACTGGAGTTTCATAACAGAACTTGGCATTGGCCAAAAAAAAAAAAAAAAAAGTTTACTAGAAATAACAAACATTAACTACATCTAAACCTAAATCTATAGACATTTAAAAGTAAATAAATAAATACAAATCACAACAAAACACAACAAAATCACTTAAAATGTAAAGGGTTACTCCACCCCAAAAATCCCTCATGTCGTTCCAAACCCGTTCGCAAACAGCGTATGCTGTTCTGTGTCAGCCGCACCACACGGATACCTTTTATACACTTTTAATTTGTGTTCCGAAGATGAACGGAGGTCTTACGGGTTTGGAACGACATGAGAGTGAGTAATTAATGACAAAATTTTCATTTTTGGGTTGAGTAACCCTTTAACATTAAAATTAATACAAAAATTACAAAAATAACATGCAAAAAAAGAAATATTATATTCAATATAAAATATTAACAAAAACTAATTATACCACAATAA